AGATACTGTTCTTGATCCTTTTTTTTTTTTTTAAAGTGAATTATAGTTTTCTATTGTTCTTTCTGTAGTATCGTATACAACATGGTATACAAATGGCGTACTATTTTTTGGTATTCAAAGTAATTTTTATTTAATTTTCATTGTTCAGGATACTCATTTAAAAATCAATTGTTATATTATAACATTCAAAAAAATTGTTTTAACTCATGCCAATAGTTTTACTCACAAAATTATTTATACTTCTCGGTTTTGTTATTTGTTCTATATTTTCGTTATTTCTATTTTCTAATTTTCTATTTTTTTTACATTTTATCTAAAATCTTAATTATTTTTAAATTTTAAATAAAATTAAAAAAAAAAAAATCTAAGATAGCTATTTTGTAGAGTAGAATTTAAGAAAAATTTTAATAAAAAAATATCTTATTAATATTCAGTAGTAAATATTCTGTAGCATTTTTAATTGATATTATCAATGGTAATAAGGCACATTGTTGTGAGTTTATAAATACACTAAATGACAATTTAAAAAGTATATTATTCATATGATTGATAATAAACAATCCATGATTGTGACAAAAATTCAAAGTTGTTTTTTTTAACTTAAAGGAAGAAAAATATTTAAAATAAGTTTCAATTAATATTTGATGTAAATTAGATACACGTAAATTTTATACTTATTGGTGGCCCCATTACTGTGACAAACCATTGTGATGTATTTTAAATTAAAAAAAAAAAAATTGAACACAAAAATAGTATGTTTTTTTACTACGGCTAACCATTATACGTAGAAAACAAGACTATATACGAGAAAATTAATTTTGTAGATTTAAAATTACACGATAAAATTAAGTTTTAAAAGAACCCAGAACAGAGGGTTCGCGGCGAAGTGGTGACGTGGCATAGTTGGATCAAGTATAATAATATCTAACAATGATTAAAATAAAATATGTCGAATAAAAAAGGGATATAAATATTATTTCTCATAAAGATATGTATACATTTTAGCTTCGATGAAGGTATTAATTTTACAAAGATGATTTTTTTTATGTCTGTTGCCACTTTTTCTCGGCTCTCTAACCCGATTTCTTTCAAAAAAAACGTCAAAAAATTACAAATNTAAATGTATGTTTAAATAATAACTATAAATATTTGTATATTTATATATATGTAAATAGACGAAACATATAAATTAAAAGAAATAATAGTAAAATCTTATAATAGCAAGTTACTATTTTTTGTGTAATTACTATTNGCCACTTTTTCTCGGCTCTCTAACCCGATTTCTTTCAAAAAAAACGTCAAAAAATTACAAATCGTATCTAGTTGAAGACATTACCCTTAAAAATTGAAAAATTTTTTAAATCGGCAAATTTTGTCATTTTATCACCTTTTTTTTTTAAAACTTCAAAAATCAACAAATGAGCATAATTTTTTTTCATATGAAACCTTAGATATATCCCTTTCATTTTATATCATTTTTTTGAAAATATAATACTTAGCCTGCTTACAGGGGGGATTTAAAATAGACACTTTTGAAAATGTTCCGGAAATACTGCGTCCTTTAAATGTATATCAAATCAAAGGTTATGTCATGTACTATAAAATTAAAAAAAAAATTTTCCCGGCATCTTATCGTCATAAGTAAATTGCTATCGAAATTAAACAAAAAATATAATATTTACAAAAAAAATCAGCTTCTATCGTGATGTTTTTTGTATTTAAAGCTACCATAACTTATTGAAATATTAACAAAAACAAAATAATATTTTTTTATATTAAAACCTTAGATATTTTCCTTTCATTAGATATCATTTTTTTTGAAAATCTAACACTTAACCTGCTCACCGGGGGATTTAAAAAAGTAACTATTTTATAATTACTAACTTTTGAAATTGTTCGGAAATATTCACAGTTTTATTTAATCTTAAATGAAAGCTTATATTATATACTTTACTATGAAAAAAAAATTCGAAATATACATTTTCTTCTTAGTGAAAATGGCTACTGTATTCAAAAATATGTTATTTTTGTGTTAAAATTCTAGGTTTTGTATTTCATTTTATTTTAAAATATCTTAAAAGGTGAATACACTGAATATCATTAACATTATATAATTTAATTGACATAGAATGATGAAGTTTATAAGACATAAAAAATTATACTTATTAAAAATTTTTTACTTTTTTAAAGTCGAAAAAGTAATTTTTAAATTTGAATTAGCATCAATTGCTAATTTTATTATGTGCAGAAAGCAACGAACAGTTGCCATATTGGTAACACTTGTGTCTTTCACGCTTAGAGTACGAGGTTCCAGTTCGCCTGTGGCAATTAATATTTTGCATTTCTTTTGAGTTTTCAAATTTCAAATAATTTGATTTTTATCACAATTAGATTCAATAACTTCAATAAATATCAAGGATCCCACCGCTATAGTCTCGCCTCGCGAGAGGAAATTTCTTATTTATGTTAATATTATTTTACTATGTGGTGTTTTTGTGGCTACGATTTATTTTGCCAACCCTCACTTTACCTATTTTTTTCAACGATACGTCAAATATTTACAATTTGTATTTAATTGAAGATATTACCCTTAAAATTGAATAAATATTCCTTATTCATATAAAAAGTAGCTATTTTTCCATACAAATTATTAAAATCATTCATTTCTAATATTTTTAAAGTATTTATTGCCAAATTAGATTTGATATGATAAAAGTATAAAAGTAAATACAAATGTAAATAATTTTACTTTGAAATTTATTTATTTTTTAACTCTGTTTGTGTCTGCTACCACCAGTAAAATGTAAAAGAAAATCGAACTTTTTTGATAAATTTGTGTAAATAGTAATTATAAAATTTCCTGATTGCATATTAATCTTAACAATTTCATTTTTGTCTATTTAATAATGTCAATTTCAAACTTGCAAGTTGAGCTAAAAGATAAATTCATAAATTCATTTTTTTTAAATGTTTTTTTTAACTTTCACTTTAAAGGACAAAATAAAGAAGGTTAAAAATTATTACTTTTAACATATTAAAAATTAATATCAATAATAATTATAAAACAATTATATAATATATAATTTTGTATTATATTTTTGAAACAAAGAATTACTAATCTGAATATAATTAAGGAAATAGTTGATGATGCTTTTGTAATTATCCACCAATTTCTTAGAATTAAACATTTTCTACACATTTGCATCGAAGCGTTTCTTATGATAATGATTCTTTTAATCACTGTCAGATTAAATCTATACAGGACCCAACTATGCCACCTTCCCACCGCGATCCCACTGTGCTGGATTTTTAAATAGTTATAGCATTATTAAGTTAAAAATATAAAATAGAATTAGATAAAGTGTATTACATAAGCTTTAATTTAAGATATATATATATATATATAAAAGTGTCAGACTTTCCGGAACACATTCAAAAAATAATTTTTTGTAACAAAGTTGTCATTTTGAATCCCTCCCTGTAGTCAAGTAAAGGGTCAAAATTATAAAAAATATATCAAATGATAGGTAAAGACATTATGCATTTATAAAAGAAAAATTATATTGATTTATTCATTTTTAAAAATGTTATTGCAATTTTAAGTAAAAAAAATTGCGAAAATTAGCAATTTTTAAATTTGTAAAAGGATCAGATTTATAAAAAATATGTTCCAAATGATAGGTGAAGACATTATGTATTTATAAAAAAAAATGATATTAATTTTGTCATTTTTATAAAAGTTATGGCAGTTTTAAGTAAAAATAAATGAATAAATGTCGAAAATTACCGATATTTAAAATTCTATTTTTTTGGGGTATTTCTCCCATTTACGAGGAAAATGGGAATTTTTTCTATTTTTGAGCTTAATGTCATCGACTAGATACGATTTGTGATCTTTTGACGTATTATTCATCAAAATCGTTACAGCGAGATCTGAGAATGAGTGGTAACAGACAAAAAACAAAGAAACACATTGTAGTAAAATTTATACCTTGTTAACTTCGCATCAAAGTTAAAAAACAGCACATTGCGAGTTTTATGATCAGACATAAATGCATACCATAATAAAACCAATACTTATAAAGCTTTGTATTGATGCTAAAAATCGGTTCGGTGAGAGCTGAGAAAAAGTGGTAACAGGCACAAAAAAAAACCCATTATTGTAAAACCAATACCTTCCCAGATTCACATCGAAGCTAAAAACAATATATTATGTTGTTTTTAATAGTGAACGGTAGATAATATATTTTTATAATTATTCGAAACGTCGTCATCTTAAAAATTTAACAAATTTAACCCGCAAAACACATTTAAGTTAAAGAAATAAAATTTCATTTTAAATATAAGAAATGATTTAAAAAATTATTTTAAGTTTAAAAAAAAAAAATTTCAATAATAATTAGTATTGCTGAAATTTAATTTTTTATTTTTGTAATAATTTAGCCAAGTTACTTAAATAGGTGAATCTCATTAATTGTACCTACATAGATTAACACATAGAAAATATTAAATTGAATTAAAATGTATCAAAACGTAAAAATCATTTTTTTTTGATAACTACCCAAATTATATTGATAATACTATATTATTCAAGTATAAACTTTCCTATATAATATGTATAATATTTCATAATATGTAAATTTCGATGTTTTTATTGAAACGTCTCGTTTCAAAACTTAAATGAATTTTGGTAAGTATAATTTTACTTTTATGTTTAGAAATGAACAAATAAGCTTTAAACACAAAAATACCTTGATGACCTAAATAAAAACGAATAAATGATAAAAGAAATACATATAAATAATAACTATAAATATTTGTATATTTATATATATCTAAATAGACGAAACATATAAATTAAAAGAAATAATAGTAAAATCTTATAATAGCAAGTTACTATTTTTTGTGTAATTACTATTATTTATTATGTTTTTCCTACGATTAATGATCTTTTATGTATTAATACCATATTGTTTCACTATTAGTTTTTTTAACATTAGGAAAGGATATGAAAAACTAAAACCAGAACGAGAACCAGAACCAAAACCAGAACCAGAATGCGAACTAGAACCAAAAGCAAATCCTGACAAAGTTGCTGAACTTAATAGAATTATTAATTCTGAAAGATGGAAATCTTTAACTTTTGTTTTAATTAAGGGCATACCGGCAAACATAAAAGTTACAGCTTTTTCTTCTACTGAAGGTATCACTAAAAAGGCTTTCGACATGAAAAAGTATTGGGTTTCAATGGTAGTATGCGCTCTTTACGGAGATATGTTAAATAATTTTTATTATATTTATTATGATCAATTTAATATGTATATGCGTCAAACTCCGGAAGCAGAACGTGCGGACCGTAAAAAAAAAATTATCAAAAGTTATGTGAAATTTAAGCCATTATTAACTTGTATGGCTAGTGCATTAAAATATTTTAAATGTGACTATAATAATGACATGCTCGATAGTTTTGAAAATATATTATCAAATATTCTATTACTAGAGAATGTCAATATAAATAAATTAAAAAATATTTCTGAATGGTTTAAAATATCTTTCAGAGTTGATGATAATATAGTAGTAAAAACTCCATATAGCGTGTATTACTATGTTGAAAATTTAAAGAATCATGTTATAATGCATCTTGATCCGAATGACTCAGTCTTTGAAAATAAAGTTAATAATGGTATAGAATTGTTATGCGAAAGTTTCGGATTTCCGAACAAATGATACTTTGTGATCAACAAATAGCAACTATAAATTAAAATAGTATGTAATACATATATTTTTAATCTAACTAATGTATTTATGATCTAAATACATACTAAGATTCAATTTTTAGAATTGACTCAAAATTACTTTATTTTAATATATTATGACTATTTTATGCGTTAAATAAATTGAAAAATTGTGAAAATGATTTTAATCTAAAGAAAATGATTATAGTTACATTTATTTTGTGAATTCAAATGATTTTAATTATGAATATAAACCTAAAAATATCATATTGTTTTCTATACATAGTTAATTTAGTCATTGATGGTATATTGGATAAAATAAATAAAATAAAATATATAAATAGATTTGTTGATTTTATTTATGTGTTTTTATGATTTATGAAACTTTTATAAAAAATTGTTTGCCATTACATATTGTTGGATTTTGAAAACAAATTAGTATTAGTACAAATCATGTTTGAATTTTATAATAAGTAATAAATTTTCGTTTAGTACGCTGCTATTCAATAGATAGTTTTTATTATTTTTATTTAAAATAATGTATTTAAATTAATTATAAATAATTGGAACCGTCTAAAAATTGGTATATTTGGTCCAGAAGTTTAGACGAATTTTGTATAAAAAATACTTATTTACGTTTTTAAAATTATTTTACATACAAGGTGACACATATAAAATAATAATAATTTACAGAATTTTGTTTTTATATTTTTCAGTTACATATAATGTTTGAATTATTCACTATTAAATTGTTAATAATTTATGAAGTATTATTTTAAAAATTGTTATCGAGCAGTCAAATATATACAATTACATTTTTTTCTATTTTATAAGTTATTTAAATATATATGTTTCCATTAAAGAAAAAGATTATATTCCTATAACACATATGGAATGAATAAAAAAAAAACGGTACCACAGTGGGGTCGCGGTACAGTATGGAAGTGGCTTAGTTGGGTCCAGTATGATGATATCTGAGAATGATTAAAATCACTATCATAAAAAACGCTTTGATGCGAATCTGTAGATAGTGTTTAATTTTAAAAAATTAACGGATTATTCCAAAAGCTATATGATCTCCTATTTCATTATTTATATTATTATTATTTATATTAATAATATATAAATAGTACTTACATAAAAAAAATATAATGATCCATACAATTTTTAAAAAGTTATAGTGTTTTAAAATTAAGAATATAAAAAAGAATTGTTTTACAAAAATCGTATTTTTTATTAACTTTCATGACTGTTTTCTTCATAAAGACAAAATAAAGTCCGAAATTTTTTTTTTTTTTAATATTTAATTATATTACATAAGGTTTAATTTATGATATATATGAAAGTGTCTGACGCTTCGATGCAAATCTGTAACTATTTGACTTATCGTTGAAAAAGTAGGTCAAGTTAGTGCAGAGAAAATAAATGATAGTCACAAAATTCCCTTACAGCTTTGCATCGAAGCCAAAACCTAAAATATAGTTAAATAATTTTAATATGAATAAGAAATTTCTTCTTGAAATTTAATAAAAATCAAATGAGTTCAAAATTTATTCTAACTTAAAAACAATTAAGAAAAAATGCAAAAAAAAATTAGCTGTCGCGAATTGGAACCTTGTACCCAAAGCAAGTAAAGCATTTTTTTTTAACGACTTGATAACCGTACATTGTTCTATTTGACCGAAAAAAATGGCAATTTAAACTGATTCGAATTTTAATATTATTTTTCTCTACTTAAAAAAAGCAAAATAATTTAAATAAGTTTAATTTTCTATGCTATATTAATTTGATTTATACGATATTTATGAAAATCAGTGTACTCCTCATGTCAAGTATTTTAAAATAAAATAAAATACAAAACCCAGAATTTTAACACAAAAATAGCATATTTTTGAATACGGCAGTCATTTTCACAATGAAGACAAATCCAGAGGTCAAATTTTTTTTTTAATTTAATGTATATTACATAAACTTTTATTTAAATTATATATTAAAGTGTCAAAATTTCCGGAACACTTTCCAAAATTAAATTGAAAATGTCCTAGTTTCATTACACATGTTTAAAGTTTTGACCCTCTTGTATAAAGGGATATGATCCTATTTAAAAAAAAAGTGTGTCATATGAAAGAGGTATATTAAAATTAATTATAAAAAATAATAATATTCATCTGTTGTAATAGGCCCTCCACACATAAACAATTTAGTCTTCTGTTTACTTCTTATTCATTTCTCAACACATACAGAAATTCTTTTACAACACAATATCTTTTCACACAATATATATATAAAACAATAAACACCATCTATCCTCTAAAACAACTAAACACACTACTTCCACGATCACGCCACAAATATCCGCTCCTTCACAACACTTACAAAAACCCTGATCAATAACGTATCATAAAAATGTAAAACCCAATAAGAGCTGGACGATAATCAAACACATCTGTGGAAGGGGATCCGGGGAATGCATTAAGAATATCCCTGGGCACATAGTTCTCGTCCTGTTTCGATCTAACCGACATACGAACACGTCGCGATCATCGTCCGGCTTTCTTTCGCCTTTTAAACCAGTTTTGTATTTTTTTGGTTTTGTTTGTTTTCCTTTACTATTACTGTATCATGTGTTTTTAACAATAAAATAGTTATATAAATAGTTATAGTAGTTAGTATAAAGATATTATATACAAATTAGTTATTCTAATTCATGTTTTCTTTATTATTCCACAAGTAAATTATTGTATCAATGAGGATTATATGATTAAGGTAAGAACATTCTAATTTATTGTGCACGTACTTAAGATAGCAAGTGACCCTCGAACAGCAAACCCCGAGAAGAGGGATAGTTCTTATTTTGCGATACTCCTATAACATCATTTTCATAATCGTTCTTGAGTTACGACACATCCATACATTTTTCCAAAAGTTATAGCAATATAAATTTAAAAATATAAAATATAAAATCGAGAATTTTTTCATAAAAATAGCATATTTTTATTGCGGTTGTTATTTTTACCATGAAGTCCAAAGGTCAATTTTTTTTTTCAAAATAAAGTATTTTACATAAGCTTTAATTTAAGTTATATATAAAATTGTCAGTCTTTCCGGAACATTTTCAAAAGTTAAATTGAATAAGTTAATTTTTTGTAAAAAAGTTACCATTTTGAAACCCTTCCTGTGGGCTTGTAAAGGGTCAAATGTTCACAAAAATATATCAAATAATAGATAATACCTAAGATATCTATAAAAAAAATTATATTGATTTGGTTATTTTTAAAAAAGTTATGGCAGTTTTAAGTAAAAAAATTGAAAACATTTCGAAAGCTGGTGAATTTTAAATTAGTAATTTTTTGTGAGATTTACCCCGTTTACATGGAACGAGGGAAATTTTGCAATTTTTGAAGGTAATGTCTTCGTCTAGATACGATTTGTGATCTTTTGACGTACTGTTCGTCAAAATCGGTCTAGCAAGAGCTGAGATTGAGCGTTCACAGGCACAAATAAAAAAATAATAATAATAAAAAACACATCATAGTAAAATTAATACCTTCTAAGATATTGGATAAATAATTTACTCTAAATATAGTACACTAGTTTATAGTTTTGTATTATTAATTATTGAAAGTATAGGTATTTGTAACTGACTTGTAAAAATTGATTCTTCTTCCAATATTCTATTTATTAAGATTTTGTTTCTAAATTTGTGTCTGGAAAACTTATAAATTTTATTTCTTAAAAAGCGTTACAAAAATATGACACGGCCCGCGTCGCTTCGTTATACACGATGCCCCGCGACTCGTGCCATCTTTACAGCCGTCGCCCTATTTTATGAGTATTTGACTGACCAACACCGTGTGCCATACGCCACGGTGCCAAGTCCAGCAAGTGCCGCACGGCCGACGACGACCAGCCGCAAATGGTTCGAGAGTCTTCCTCCAGTTGTGAAAGCGACAACGTCGACCAACCGATCCGCACCCGCGCACCTTCGCCTACAACGCTGCTGACCTTTTGCCGCCCGAAGACACGCCGGACATCGCGTCGTCGACGCCAGCGAAAGTGCCGCGATATTATGCGAAGATTATTATTACTATGTTTATTTTTTCGGTTTGTTTTATTTTTGTTAAAATAATCTGTTGTCGATGATTTAATAAACGGCCCACGGGTCTCTACCCTCAAAACCAGTGTCGACCACATTTTTGCGACGCAAGTCGTGTCAAATTTTTAGCAAAAATTTCCCATTTTTTTTTAATTACTTGTTATAGTTTCAACTAAAATTTTTACCGTGTTCAATTTCTTATATTTGAAACAATGTTTTATTTTTTTTTGAATAGGTATTTTAGTTTTTTTTAATAAATATCACATTATTGAATATTACGAAAATATTCACACAAAATATACATTTTTCTAACCAAAATTTCTTAAAATAAATAAATTAAATTCTTTAAGATAGTATGAAATTATTAGTAGTTTCCCCACAGTTTTTTTCACATTTAAAAAAATTTTAATTGATTTTAAATGTTAATAATTTTGATTCATTTTTATTACGTCCTCGACACATTATATTGCGTTCTATCATTTAAGTTATTTTATAAAAAAAAAATCCCAGTTGATTAAATTCCAACCAATATCTTAGATATTATCTATCATTTGATATATTTTTGTGAACATTTGATCCTTTACAAGACCACAGGAAGGGTTTTTTACAAAAAATTAACTTTTTCAACTGAACTTTTAAAAATTTTTCGGAAAGACTGACACTTTTATATATACCTTAAATTAAAGCTAATGTAATATACTTTAATTAAAAAAAAAAAAAATTTGATCTCTGGACTTGTCTTCGTGGTGAAACATCAAAGTTAAAGAAAAACGTACGATTTCCATGAAAAAATTCTCGATTTTATATTTTATATTATTTAATTTATATTTTATATAACATTTGGAAAAATGTATAGATCAATATTATTATTTTTTATAATAAATTTTTATATACCCCTTTCACCTGACATGCTTTTTTTGTAAATCGGATCATACCCCTTTATACAAAGGGGTCAAAACTTTAAACATGCGTATTGTTACTAGGACATTTTCAATTTAATTTTTGATAGTATTCCGAAAATACTGACACTTATATATATATATATCTTAAATTCAAGCTTATGTAATATACCTTAATTTGGCTGAAGTAATTGAAGCAATAATATAATACAATCTTATACAGGGTAGCCCACCACTCACTGACAACTTAAATAACTTTTGATCCAGTTAATATTTTTAGTTGATTTTTTTTTTAAATAATAG